CCCCCCCCCCCCCCCCCCCACTGCCCTGTCCCGCAGCTGGACCGTGAAGCAGCAGTGTGTGGATCTTATGGCCGAGGGCCTCTGGGAGGAGCTCCTCGACGATGAGCAGCCAGACATCACAGTCATGGACTGGTACGTGCCCCTGCCCGGCCAGCCTGTCCCCGCCAGCTCATGGGATGGGCTCCTGGATGTGGAAACCTCACCTTTCCTCCCCTTTGGTCTGAGCTCATCACCAAGACCCGCTCGCCCGCTGCAGGACCCAGCCCCGCCCACTGCACTAGCCCCTTCGCCCTGAGACTCCCAGCTTTTGAGATGGGCCAGGCCGGAGGCCGGTCCTTCTTTCTGAGATGCTCGGCACCCCCTGTTCTCGAGATAAAGTCCTTCTTATCCTTTGGGGTTCCGTCGCGCATGGTTACACAAGAATCCTTTCCTGACTACCCTCGAGCTGGGGCAGACGCATTATGCATTATGTGCCCCCAGACCTCCCCCCTCCCAGCCCCCACCATTCTTGGTTTCACTGGTGACAGGTCTGCCTCCCCTATCAGACTGTGACTCCCGCAAGGGCGGGGTGGGGGCCATCTTGCTGTGTGGCCAGCACTGCCCGGCCCCGGGGTGCACAGAGCGGGTGCCAGTGGGCGTGTGCTGAATGGCCATCAGGGCCAGGGGTTGGGGCCGGGACGTCGGGGCCGCAGTGGCAGCTGAAGGCCTGGACCCCACCCCCAGGTACGAGGACAGCCGGCTGGACACGTGTGTCTACGAGCTGCACGTCTGGCTGCTGGCAGCCGACCGCCGCACGGTCATCGCGCAGCACCATGTGGCCCCCCGGGCCTCCGGGAGAGGCCGCCCCGGTTGCTGGATCCAGGTGAGGCTCTGTCCCCGGCTGCCATCCCCAGACACGTGTTCCTGTCACCTCAGAGAGGGCAGAGGGCAGGGTAGGGTAGGGATGGCAGGTCCCTAACGAGGACTTCTCCCCTAACCCTGGGTGCTGCCACAGGTGTCCCACGTGTTCCGCCAGTATGGCCCTGGCGTGCGCTTCGTCCACTTCCTGCACAAGACCAAGAACCGGATGGAGCCTGGGGGGCTGCGGCGGACGAGGGTGACGGACTCCTCCGTGTCCGTGCAGTTCAGGGAGTGACTGGCAGACTCCGGGCCTGTTCTGACCCCCGGTGTCACTTGTCCACAGCCTTGACACTTTACCCGATCCCTTGGCACCTCCCTGACCCTTGGGTTCTGTGGCCTTCTCTTCACACCTCCCTGGTGCTCAGCACACCTGTTCCCTTAATCCCTTCATGACCCCTCAGCTTCTCCTTGATCGCTGACCACCTCCTGGGCCCCTTATTCCTGCCTGGCCCTCGGCCCCCCGCTTGGCATCTTCCCACACCCTTGGACGTCTGACTCGTCGGCATTGCTGCCGTACTCTCTGAGCTCCGTGAGGGCAGCGGCCACTTCCTCCTGAGCTAGTTGCTCGACAGACAGTAGGGGCTTCGTGCATCCTTGTGGATCGATGAATAAATGCGTGTGCGCGGGGATGCGGAGTCTTTTCCCTGGCGTTTGCTTCTTCACAATGTCACTGAGTTCACACCGTGATTTTCCAGCACCCCACAACCCCTGTGCCCTTGGCACCTCCCTTGACCGCTGATCTCGCCACATGTCCCCAGTTTACAGCCTCTTGGAGCCCCCACCCGCCTCTTCTCTGGCATCTCTTAGTCTCAGACTGTTCCCCTTGTCAGCACACCCCCCAAGTTCTCAACCCCTAGAGCCGTCCCCGTATCTTTTCCCACAAGACCCTCATTTCTCCGCCTCAGTCCTCCAGAGCCCCCGAACCCAGCAAGGTATGGTATCCATCCGGGGCCATCGTTCTGGGGACAGTGGCGGGACAGACTGCAAATCTGAACTAAAATTTTTTCCACGTGTTGGAGAAAAAGAGATTGAAAGTCTTTAACCACCCCTAAGCCCGGGGCTCTGGCCAGATCACGCAGGAGACCCCGGTCTTAGCCTGGGCAGGGTCCTTGGAGGCCTCCTGCTGTTCCATGCGTGAATCCTGAGGGAATCTGGAGGTCCCTGGCAGGCCAGAACAGCTGGGGGCGGGGTGGGGTGGGGGGGACATTCAGGGGAGGGCTATCTAC